GCTCGTTTTCGGACATGAAATGCATTTTGCGTGGCAGGCGCAAGGAATTCGACACATTGGAGCCTCGAAAAGGTCATTTTACGTGGCAGGTGCAAGGAATCGGAGACTTTGCAAATTTCGTGGCAGGCGCAGTGTTTTGTGGACGTTGCAAAAACGTTGGCAGGCGTGCGTCATTCGCAGGACTGCGTTTCACGTGGCAGGCGCAGGGAATCCGCACCATGGATGCGATATTTTGAGGTGAAACGGCTGAATTCGTGAGAGGGGTCGCATTTTTGGAATTTGAACTTGAGGATGCTTTTGCGTGGCCAGGGCAGCATTTCGTATGACCTGCAGGCATGATTTCGTGGCAGGCACAGCATTTCTGAAACGCAATTCAAAATTTGCGAAGCCTCGTGCAATTTGCTCATTTTGGATCTCCGATGCGCAGATTTCCTGGCAGGCGCAGCACTTTGTGAATCTCGATGCGCAGGTTTCGTGGCAGGCGCAGCACTTTGTGAATCTCGATGTGCAGATTGCGTGGCAGGCGCAGCACTTTGTGAATCTCGATGCGCAGATTTCGTGGCAGGCGCAGCACTTTGTGAATCTCGATGCGCAGATTTCGTGGCAGGCGCAGCACGAGGGTTTTTTTGCCTACCTCAATCGCACTTGTGGCAACCCCGTGTGGGTAAAGGCTCTGCTCAAACATGGAACCAAATACCTGGCCCCCTTGTTGTTGACTCTTTTGGAGGCGCGTGCCGCCAATCCGATTTCGCGCGGCGGCCGGGTTCTTTGGCGCCACGTGGATGCCGAGTATGATTCATGGCTTGCGTCCTCCGGCTTCGTCGCATCCTTCACCTCGTCCCACGCGGTTGCGCTGGGGCGGCCCCTCGCATCGGAGTCGCACGCACTCGCAGCTTGCCACTGCATGCACACGCGGAAAACATGCGCGTCTGTAGCTTTTTGTTTTACAACGACCTTCAAGCCATACTGCTCTAGCATTTTTGGCACTACGTTGGTCGCACTCTCCTCCTTACAAACTCACGCCTGGTCCCTCTTTCACATGCTTCCGCATCTGCTGCTCTCATCTGTGCACTCTCACATTTGTGCTCTTGTATGTATCCTCTCATATTTGCGCTCTCATCTGTGTGCTCCTTCTTTCCTTCCACGTGATGCCATGTTCCATCTGTTCCTCTTTACACTATTTGGGGTCCCTTGCCGGTGTAATTTGTAAGTTCGCGCTAGCGGAATTATTGGGCGGTAACAGATCACTCATGACAGATCCGAGTATCCGCAATGTACCCGTCTACTGCTAGTGACTTTGCTGCGTGAGCTGTTGTATTTCCTTGGTGTCCGGATATCATCACCCGTTGACATCTCGAACGTAGCGGCCTCGCATTTCTGCAACATCTGTTTACAAAAGGAGCGATAGGTTGGACGGCGTGGAAATCAATATGAAATACGCCCAGCTTGGTTTGGCGATGGAAGGCACAGACGCAGCGGAGCAATCTGTCCGTAGCTGGTACGCAAACTGCTGGCAGCCGTCCCACAGCATGGAAAGGCACACAAGCTGTTTGCAGCCGGCCACGGACAGAACTGGAGCACTTTTTTCATCATCTTCTTGGCTTCACTCTCCTGCGCTTGTTGCCAGGCTGCTGCGCATCCATTGCCAAGAGCTGGCGAAAATGCCTGCCGGTCACCTTGCAGCAATCCATGAGCAGGTTGTGATAGTAGACACTCCGGTGACGACCGTCACTTTGTTTGGGGGGAGCAAAAAAGACTATCTTCACGTCCTTACCCTCATCCTCTAGAGTTGCAATGGGAAAGGCCTGCGTCGCGGCTTTCATTACTGTTTCCCACTGCTTCTTTGCGACGCCGGCTCGGACTTTCCTGCCATCGTCCTGCTCCACCACTCTCCGCAGGCGGCCTTGAACCATCGTCCAAGTCACGACCGGCTTGCCCACAAGCACTGTTGCCTGGCAAATCTCTCGATCTGTGAACAAAGGCTTCTGTCCGCGCTCGAGAGGTTGGACAGTCTTTCCATCAGCCCCGTACCCATCAGACAAGCTGCAGGCAGTGTCAGGCGTCTTCACTTCGAACACCTCATCAGACGATGCATCATGAAGCGCTGGCAGGGCTTGCAGCTCGCCTTCCACAGCCTCGTCATCGGGCAGGGGGTAGGTAGCATGAAATGATCTGGTTGGGTTGCAGGGAAGGGCAACCCCAATTGAGTGGCTGGCATACCTGGCGGAACCAAATCCCCACGCACAGACCCCGCCACATCAGCGCCAGGGTAGATTTGCTCCTCCGGCATATTGACGGTGTCTTCCACCCATGCATCCCGCAAAGCTTCAAGGACCTTGTGCAAACTCTTGGCGCGGGCCACATACGCACGGCCAAGGAATACTTCCGGCCGTTCCGCATTGGAAGGTGGTGACAGGGAGTGAGAATCCACGAAAATGTCCCACGCAGCCAGCAGCAGCCAGCACGGCGCACAGCAAGCCTTGCTTCCAGGGCCCAACTCCATGCCGAGCAGCAACGTCATACTGCCCTTTCTCCTGAAGAAGGCACAAAAATCGAAGCATGGAACGATGAGCAGGGTTTTGTGGACTCCCCTTGACAAATTCAACAAAAACAAGAAACATGAAATAGACAGTGGTAAGCGTCTGTAGCCAGAGTTGCTAGCACAGAGCTTTGAGTCCGCATGGTGGCAAAAAGCTTCTTGGCCGATTCATCAAACAGAAGCGTGGTGTGAGGAGGGAAGAAGCGCAGCACCCGTTCTGCAGCAGGCTGAAGAGCATGTTGTGGAGGTAAAGGAACATCACGGTCGCCCATGCGGCATTCTGCCGTCGCTATTGCTGCTTGTCCGGGCTCAATGCGGTAGCGCCACCGGGTTTTGACCCCATCCGGCAGCTTCATTTCATAGCCAGCTGCATTGGGTAAAAACCGAACACCTCGAGCAACGTCAGCATCATCTGGGTTCAGTTGGCCAAGAGCTTCGTTGTCATTTGATGCTCTGGCCAGTTTTCCTTCTTCCACAGCTTTCTCTGCAGCATCCGGATCAGCGAGCAAAGACCGGAGACCGCACAAGGAAGCCATGTCAGGATCTAACTCTGCCCACACCCAAGGTGCGTGACCATCAGCAAGGATGTATTCAGGCGGCAAAGGGCTGTGTGGTGGGATTGGCTCCGCTGTGTAGAACATAATGCGCTCCTTGGTGCGCCCAACATGGTTCCCAATTTCCGCCCTTTCCATGGGCAACGCGACTTCCGGGTGCATGTTTGCCATGATGGAAGAGCTCACTGGCGGCGTGGCACCTTCGCCAAAGGTACCGCTGGTCTTGGTTGTTCTGGAACATTCTCCAAACTGGAGCAAGCGGTTCAACTCCCCCGTGCTGATTGACTGCCAGCGCCGCAGCTGCACCTTTGCGCGAGTCGTCAGCGATGAGGCCAAAGGCTGCGAAGGTGGCATACGCTTCGTCCACATTCGCGATGCGGCCAAAATGGAAAGAAGTATTGAGCTCCTGCGCTGCAACGCCGAACGACAGGCATCAACAAATGGCTGGCTAGACTTACAGTGGTTGACCGGTTGACCTGCGTGATAGCCATCGCTGGCAAGCACGTCCCTTGCAGCCGCCCCGCGCAGGGTGACGGAGTGGCACACAATGGAACGATGAAAATTGAAAGCGGGAAAGGTGACGTAACAGCATGGCTCTGATAGGAGCACCAGCCCGTCCTGCACACCGACCTCATCAGCGTTGCACAGCTGCTGAAAATCACCGGAAAAACGCTCAAAAAAGACTTCGGGCGTGAAGCACGTAATGGTGGAACTGGCCACACGCAATCGGGGCTTTTTGGCGCCAGAAGTATCTGCTTGTTGTGGACCGGCGTCGCCCTGCTTGGCAAGGCTGCGAGAAACAGCTTCTTCGGCCAAAGCCGCAACATGCGCATCTAGCGCATCCGCCAAAATCTTGACCAACTTTGTGTTCTGGGATTTGCGTGTTTGAGGATAGTTCACTAACGTGGCAATGAAGTTGACGGGGACGCACCTCCAGGAGAAACTTGAACGGCTGCACCATTCATGAAGGAGCCAGAGCACCCAAGAATGTCATGCCTGTGACAGGGGGTGGTTGCTTGAGCCGATGGCGGATGGCGTGTGTCAAGAGAAACTGGTAGCTGTGCCTGGCATGGAGCGCCCCACTGACTGCCAAAATTGACAAACCACATCAAAGATTTCCGCCCCATATGCTAGAACACTGGCAACGCACGCAAGAAGAGGAAAAGTGAGATCAAACAAACAACCGCGACTGCAAGGCTAAGGACGCTCTGCGGCCACGGCGCTTGCCAAAAACCAGCTCTGGGTCTAGCAACTTGTCAACTGCCTCCCAGGCAGCACGCATTTCCTCCTTGAACTGCTGTCTGGAAGTGGCATTCGAGCTGCGGGGCATTGCGCTAGCAAGGAGGGCCACCACACCGCCTAAGTCAAAATCTATTTTCGTTGTGTACCTGTGTCAGGGCGCAGGCACGCAGCGCATGTAGGCTTGAACCCACGAATCCCAAACGGCAAAGCTCGCTGTAGCACCGTGACACAAGTGCCTATAGTGAAGTGCAGGCGTGTTTTGCATGGCTGAGACAATCTTTTAGTACGCCTAAGATGTGAAAACGTCACATGTTCTTGCTCATCCCAAATGCAAGTAGAACATGGCAAAGCCAAAGCATGTCGTCCCAGAAGCAGTGAGCAACAGCGGTCCCCCAATTGGCAGCCGGCCCGCAGCTGGCACGCAAGCGCCTTGCAGCCGCACCAGAATGTGGAGCGGCACGCAGAGTGCTTGCAGCCGGTTGCGGACGGGCACACCAATGGGACAGGCTAAACGGGAACTTTTTGCGGGCAAGAAGCACATTTCACAGGCCGTCGTGTCTGCAAAGAGGAGCCGCTTGACGATGCCTCAGCGCAAGAGATTCGGAAGTGTAGAAGCCACATCGGCGGCTGAGACCAATTAGAGTGTGGATGGTGAGTGCAAACTTCACACTTTCTTGCTCGTCCCATAGGCAAGAAGAACTTGGAAAAGCCAAAGCATCTCATCCCAGAAGCAAGTGAGCAACAGCGGTCGCGCAATTGGCAGCCGGTCCGCAGGCACTGTCTGAACAGGAGCCGCAGGACGACGCCTCAGCGCAAGACTCAGATTCCGAAGTAGAGGCCCCATCGGCAGCAGGAGGATTGACATCCATCGGCCAAGTTCCGCCATGCTTACTGAGTAAGGTCACGTTCCTTTCGTACACGACTTCCTGGTCGAAGAACCAGAAGGAGAATTGATTCATCTTGCGCGTCATGCGCTTGAATCGAGCCAGCCACGCAAACGTGATCTCGCAGATGGATGTGTTTATCTCAGTGACAACCTCGCTGTTTTCAGGCACGTTAGGCCCGCAATTGGCTACACACCAAGCATCGACATGGCCCCTGCTGTGAAACTTGTCCACGATGTATTTCATTTGCGGGTAGGCGAGGGATTCGGCCAGTGCATTCCAATGCTTACCTTAGTGAAATCTGCGCAGCACAACCAAAAGGGGTAAAGATAGACATTCTTTACGCTTATGGTCACGTATACGTGTGCTTCCTGCTTGCGGCCGCAAAACGGTTGTGGGCAAATCTGCGCAAGTGACAGGCGTCATCATGGACCAACACCTGGAGGCTGGAGTGCGTGGCTTTGAGGTGGGCAATGAAAGCATAGCGTTGGGACAGGGATTCTGCACCGTGATATTCTTGCACATGAACATACATGAACTATCAAGCCATCACTTCGACAAGCCACCAGAAGTCCGCCGGCCCGATGACTTTTCGCACCCGTATCCCCTTGCTTGTGAGTTTGGCATTGCAAATCCAAAAGCTCTTGCAGTGTGGTTCCGTCGTGAATCACAGGCTCCACCTGCTGTAGGGTTTTGACTCGGTGACAAGCAGTCAAATACCCTCGAACCAGCATGTTCTCGGCGCGTGTGAGTTTACTGAGCTCTTTCTCTGCACGCGCGCCACGTTGAGACAGGATCACACGCAAGAGATCATCGCCGCTCTGAGCCAAGGAAGCAGCTCGGGACACAGAGTGAACAGCTGTTGGTTCTGCATCAAAAGCTGCCAGACAGCGAACATGCCAGGGGCAAAACTTGTGCTTGTAGGCTGGTGTGCGAGGGCAAGTGGTCAAGGACCATGCCTGCAAGGGCTGGCACAAGGTAGCAGAAACCGATGGAACGCCACAACGCCTCCGTGCGCCAGCTTTGACGTGACCGTCTATGACCAATCCCAATAGAGGCTTGTCTGAGCGAGTGACTTGACTCTTCCTGATCTTCATCATGAACGCGTCATAGGCATCTCCGACTTGTCGAATGAGGTGTTCTTTGTCGGTTGACAAAGACATATGCACATGCGGTTGTACTTGCCAATATCGCTCCAGGAGCCGGATTTTGAACCAAGCGTCCTCAAGCTTTAACTTGAAGCGGTTGAAAGACCGTCGAAAGCCCGGCTACCAATGCACTTTCGCCTCGCCCCAGAAAGAGGCCATCTGAACGACCAACCGCAGGGAGAATTGCTGGTACCAACGTCAAGTGACCCCAAATCGCTGGGTGAGCAGGATGACAGATGGCAGTGCCTTCACCGCAGGCCGCCACCGAAGGACCTTACGACCATGAACTTGGAAGCTGCACCACAAATAGAAGCCCCGTTCAGGACAGTCACAATCAGCCAACAATCCAGCAGGATCTGCTACTCGAATCGCACCGGGTATATCTACCCATTCAGCCATGGCGCTGCAGAGGGCTGCAAGAGTGAAAGAATCTAGCCGTGGTCTGTTTGCTCAGTAGATTTTGCGTGCACACATGTACAGGCCATGCCCATGTAGACGTGACCCGAATTAGTCGAATTAGTTCACAAGTGGACAGGGCAGCGCCGTCGGGCTGCCAAGCTTGAGTCAAAAGGCGCCTTTCACTTAGAGACTTTTAAGGAGTCGGGCATCCAGCTGGCTTCTTATGAGATTGACCTCCACACCACATGTTTTTCTGGCCGCTAAGTGTTCTTCCAGGGACAGTACACTACAGATGCGTATGGATGTTCGCAAGTTGGCAAAGGCTTGTAGGTGCGGGGGCGCGGTGCGCGCATGCACGCGTGCTTGCTACATGGGAACCCGTGCAGCAGTGTAACCAAAAGCATGCGTCCAAAGACTCGATGGTCCAATGTAATTCAAATGCAAGCACAAACTGAGACTGCTGTAAGCTGTCAGGAAAACGTTTCTAAGTTTCAATTCGCTCTGCAGGCGCACCTTTTCGTCCAGGCGGCAGCTGCTCGGCTCAGTCTTTGCTGCTCTCGAGTTGACACTTGGCAGCCTTGGCCATATCCTTCTTTTTGGCCTTCCTCTTCTTTTCGCGCTTGCTCTTTGCCTTGCGCGCTCGAGCTGCTTTCTCAGTGACTTTCCGGAGCTGTTCCTCCAGGACCCGGACGCGCTCGGCGTCGCCCGTAGCAGACAAAGAAAGCCGCCGAAGGTGCATGTTCGGAGGCTGCAGCTGCGGCGGACCGGCGCCGTTCGAATTGCTGGCGGAGAAGGTTGGGGGCAGCAGGGCTCTCATCCAGTGGCCACGGGCGCAAAAGTCCATGGACCCGACGGAGTTGTGGTTTGGATGTCTATCTCAACAGCGTCGTCCGGCCCAGTGGCGGGCGATGTATCCGGATCTTCCGGATCATCCACCCATCCGTGCACTCAGAGATGTTTTCCCAGCCGGACATGGCTCGAAAATGAACGCCGCAAGACCGTGAATGAAAGCTGACATATGTGGTGCGCACTACAGCATGGTGGCATAGTGCAGTGTGGCCGTTGTTTTGACCATGGGACCGCACCCAATGCAATCACCGAGGCTTGAACACGGAAACCGCCGGCGGCATATAGAGCAGTTCGGACGACAGGAGTCACGACAGAAGCGCTCGTTTGCAGAAGGCTTGAAAGGCATTCAAAAATAAAAGGCCTTGATGGTTTATGTAGGTATGAGGTATATATCAAGCGTAACACGTGTAGCGTGGCATGTATGGATAAGACCACCCTAGTCAGGACATCAGCACGTGTATGCATTGCAGTGAGTCTTCCAGGCGACGTCGTTCGCGCGCGTCATCTTGCTAGCAGTGGGCGCCGGTCTGCAGCTGGCCAGCAAGCGCCTTGCAGCCGCCCCGTGGGGTGGCACGCAAGCCGCTTGTAGCCGGCCGTCGACGGGCACGCCAATCTCACACGAAAAGCCTTGTCTCGGCGATCTGACGGGCTCAGATGAAGAGAGGCCTTGCAGTTCAAAACCAGCTGCACACTTCTTTCGTGGGATGGTGGGAAGAAGGAGACACGAGCGACGTGGGAAGAAGGAGACATGAACGAGGCCCCGCGCGAGGCCCGAAGACCGTGAACCGGGAAAAGAAGTGACCAGAAACAGCCACAGACCCAGCAGCAGGTAGCAGCAGCAGCAGCAACAACAACAACAACGGCAACGGCAACGGCAACGACAACAACAGTACACTGCCTTCCAAGTAGGCGTCGAGGGAGGAGTCTCCACGGCAATGCGGTGCTGCGTTGCCGTGCCACAAGTCTGAAGCGCTGTTGCAACTCATTTGATTGTTTCTGCACACCTCTGAAGCATCTTCCCCCCCACATCAATGCGTGTGGCAGCGACTTCTTCGTAATACGCAATCCCCCATGGGATTATGGTAGTCACATATGATCGGCTGTGACTTCAACATGTGGGAGTGCTATGTGGAGCTCGCAGTCAGAATATAGTTACAAAGCCTGGAAAGAATCTGTACCAAAAAGCAGTTAGAATATGTGTGGGTCTGTGCCTGTCACTTGCTGGAGCATCGTGCTCACATGTGGTGACAGTCTTAACCTGCGGAACTTCTGCACTTCTCTTCCTGTAGTCTTCTATTTTCTGTCTTACTTGTTCTCTGGGAGGCACGGTGTTTTTTTTTGACGGGCAATTAGAATATGTTTCCAGGGATGCCTCACTGTAGTAGGGTCGTCGACCTCATGTTGTTACTAGGTCGCAGTCGTCATTGTGGGCATAGTA